AATCTGTACAGACCATAGTATCTAAACTTCTTTGATTTCTGGAAAAAAACATAAACGCATACGTAAAAGAACAATATCAAAATGACAATATTTATTGCTTCTTAGAACTTACCTGCAAAATAACAGGTTATGCACAAACATCAGTCACTTATATTCCAAAATAAATTATCACCAACTGTCAAACTCGCCGCGAAACTCAATGATATCGTTGACCGCTAATCAGACGCGCGGAAAAAGAGCAACAATCTCATATATCTCGCTCATTCTTTCGTTTTCTATTTTTTTACTCTCGTTATGCGTATTTATTAATAATTAGTAAATCAGAATCGTGATAAGGAGCAGACACTGTAGTTAGAGATACATTAACCAATTTTACATGAAACACATTATACTCTGTCCGCCAATGATTTGTTAGATCCTATATTACGAAATATATATTTATATAGATATAAAAATCGGTACAAACGAACAATATAATTCTAAAAAACGCCATGTTAAATCAAATCAAATTTATTGTTGCCTCTTTTCCACGATGTAGATTCTCTCGATCTCGATATCTCGACATGCAATGAAAACGAATGTCATTGTGCATTGACAGTTAGACTTATCGATTTATTGAGAAAGGTTATTATTTAGCAAATAACTTCTGAAAAAAAAATTGTAATAAGGATTTATTACAACAGGGTTGTACCATATATCCTTTCTTAAAAACTATAAAATTAAATAAATGCGTAGCGCGCGTATTGTTCTAGTGATGAAGATATAATAACATAACTTATATTATTTCTTTTTAAATATTAGATATATTGCTAACCTGTTCATTTCAATGCACGCGTATTTATTTATTACATACATTATCAGTCTTATCAGCTGATATGTACCTATAAATCAAGTTGATAAGTCAGGATTACTGCAGAACCCAGCGAACATTGATTCGCTAGATCCTACAGTGACCCTAACTTATCAGTCTCATAATCCACTGGATCGAGAAGATTAATATTGACATTTCACAACAGACATTGCGTATAAAGGACGATGACGATAATGACGTTTCTTAAAATAAAAATTTCAAGATTGGACTTTGATTCTTAATATCTCTACTCGTAGAGCACGTAGAAAAAAAATAAAATCACTTTCGTCATGCAAATCATATTCAAACTATCGATTGAACCTATTTAAAACTTGATCGATTCAATCGTGAATGAGATAATCTCAGCTCGCATCTAATCGGTTTGTATAAAATCACACGGTGGTCTTGATTGACTTGACACCCGAGACACTATCGTGTCTCCTGATACGTAATATAATTATATTATAAATTATGTGTACTAT